TTCCATCCCTGTCAAGATACTTTGTTGGCAGTCACCTAATATTGTATACCTGATGGTGGATCATTGAAGCAGAAATTGGTATTTCTGATATGCTCTCTGTGCTGTAGATTGTTATAGTGTGGCCTAGCTATACACTTCAATATATGCTGGCCATGCTAGTGGTCTTGGGTAGTGGTTTGACTTTCACAAGATAATGGTTTTAGAAGGTTTTAATATCCTTCAACTTGGAAGGACATCCCTTGTAATATACAAATCCACTCATACTGAAGTGCATGCTCTCAAGTTGTTTTCTTGCTGGATAGAATGAGGGTAATCTGAGAATCAGAGAGACTCTGACATTAACTATTCAATAGGGTATGGATTTGCAAGGGTTTCTGAACCTTGGAAGGTGGTGCCTTCGGTGATTATGAGCCTTTGGACTGAATTGTCTGGTTGGATGTGTAACTGTTATAGCAAATTGCTTGTTTCCATGACTAGCAGTTTTGTGAAACTGGATGATATGTAGGATGAGGAAATTTTGGAGCATCTTATGGCTCATATATGTTTTCCATTTCCTGGAAGCTCAAGTGCCTTGTTTTTCCAGGACATTTTCTAAGTGGCAGTGTAATTGCAGCTACAATAATAGAGAGACAGTGAAGAAGAAAATGTGCAGTGAGTCCAATCAAGACAAATTGTAGCCCATTAGAAGCTCTGTTTCATGGTGTTAAGGAAGTCTTCGCCTTTGCATTGCCACAGTATTGTCCAGGGTAGTTCCAAGTGGCCTCTTATACCTAAGCCATGGATGCAAAACATGCCTCCAGGGGCAAGAAATGCGCTCAGTGCCTAAGAATTCTAAAACTGGCATGAGATGCCTATACCTGGTGACTGTATAAACATAAATTATCATCACTCTTTAATTGGATGATTGATTTGCCCATGGTACACAGCCCTGGGAGCTAGAGCAGTAAACGCCATTCTAGATCATCACAACTGAAACAAATGAAGTGGATTTTGAGTGCAGCATTATGAAGGAACAGTATAGCCACAACATCATCCAGGCGATCAGCATCATGGCAATTCTTTAATTGGATAATAAACTGACAGGTTGTGGACCATTTTTCTTTCAGACAAACCTTCCCATCTTCAAATTGAAGGAGTCTTGTGTCAGGAGGAGATACAGTGATTTTGAATGGCTTCGGAGTGAACTAGAAAGGGAGAGTAAGGTAAGTCAGGAGTGTTTTCTGGGATGTAACAAGTTAAATGGCTTTGTAGTGGGAAGAATTGCTGGTTTGATGCTGAAATTTATTAGAGTCAAAGCACATGCAGTACAAGGCGTTCCGCTTCCTCACAGCTGTGTTTAAGCTTTGGGTGACGAGGGGAGGAGGGACACACATGAAATTGACAGTGCATCTGGAATGCCACCTTTCTATAGAAGGGTTACAGTCCTAAGAAAAGCGGGTGAGCTGGTGAAGAATTCTGGATGTTATAGAATCAAAAGGCATTTTTCCAAGGTGTCATCCAGCATAATTAAGTACTGTCATTTGTTTAGTGTGTATGTGTCTTAATCATCATAGATTGTCTTTGTATAAGAGGCAGTCTGATTTTGGCACAATTGAGCTGAGGTCTGAAATGTTAACTCTCCCTTAGGTTGTGGTACCGCCCCTGCCGGGAAAGGCTTTTCTCCGTCAATTGCCTTTTAGAGGAGATGATGGGATATTCGATGATTCCTTTATTGAAGAAAGGAAACAAGGGCTTGAACAATTTATAAACAAGTGAGTAAAAGACTGTTAAATAACAAAATGCATGATGGTGAGTAAGACCACATTCCTAGTGCTAACAGATACCTGATTATATGTTACATGCCAACATTCCACATTATTCTGTAAATCTTTTTGTGTTCAGTGGAGCTTGTGCTAACACAAAGCCGAGCTCAGTTTATGTTGTTGAAGACTCCTGAATTACTTTCCAGGTTGAACTGGCTGAGTGCTATTAATATCTAAACTGAACAGTGTACAGATGCCTAACACTCGCTGCAGTGATTGAAGTATTTGTAGTGACCTGGGTTTTGTTTCTTAATTTATGCAAATTGCTGAAATTACAGCATGTAAAGATAGAATTGTGCAAATAAGGCTGAGAGGGGGGCAGGGGTGTGCATTTCATCAGAACAATTTGGCTATCATCTCTGGCTACAAGTATGTGCCTTTCAAGCTGTGGAATGCACTTGCATGTATAATTCTGAAGGCTAAGTGGATTAGGGGAATGTCATGCTTGTCTCTACAATCAGAAACGCAGGCTCAACTAGGATCGCTACCACTACAAAATCAAATTGGCTATTGGCATGTCTTGGTCAAAGTTCTTAGGCTGTATGCTCGCATTCAAGATAGCTGGAGAATGCAATAGTTGGAGAACCTTTGACCTTCCAGACTGTAACTTCCATAATTCTTTATGATACAAAGGTGCTCTATACCTCTTTTTCAACTCAGTAAAAAGGGAAAAATTAAGCAAACATCAGGATATTCTACTTTTACCAAGTACTTCCTTTCTGGAATTAAAAAACCCACACCACCCAGTTATGAAACAAAACGAGGCTGTCTTGCTGAAAGAAGACTGTTTTGCCTTTGCACAATTCTCTCTGGATTTAAATGAGAGAGGACAGCTCTTTGCTGACTGTATACGACCTCATCCCATTTTATCTCCATAAATATATGATCAGCGATGCCAGGTTGGAAAAATATTCTGAAAAGCTGGTCTCCTTCATATGAAGAGAACTGCTGTGAAGATGGTGGTCACCTTAATGTTAGTAAGATGACTTTGTTGCAGTTTTGCGGAGTTGATGCAGGTTCTTAGGACCAATTTTAGAAAAAATATACAGTAAAAATAGATGAGAGGCTACATGCTGCTGCAATATTTCCTCCTGGTTAAACCTCCCATTCTGCTGAAATGCTATCTTTTTAAATGCAACTCAGGAGTGTCGTGTGTAGGCTTAAGAGGTAGGAGTTTCCAGATTTCCCCTAGTTAAGGGAATGTGGGTTGACTTGTCAAGACAGAATTAGAAGGCAGCTTTCACGGTGAGGCTAAAGAGACTGCTAACCTTTGCATTAGAGGAGATGCTGCCACCACTGAGCAGAGGCTGTTCTTTTGTATGTGCAAGGCTCAGCAGGGCAAACTCGTTATCAGTGTAGCAGCAGTGTAGCAAACTGTTGGCCTTGCAGGAAAAACAGAGCACCCGCACAATCTCTGCCCAGCAGCTGCTACAAATTTTAGTGGCAAATCACTGCCGATATTTTATTTTTTAGAAATTTCTGAGGAAGTTGTGGGGAAAACCAAAAAGAGGACTAGGTGCCATGAGTAGCCTGCCTATCCCAGACCAAGGGACCTGTTGCATAGAGGGATATACTAAAAATTATAAATGGCTGACGTCTTCTGTGTTACATTCCCTTTCTATTGATGGGGGCAAAGTTCTTCAGACAACTGTATACTGAACAAGAGATATGATACTAAAGGAGAATGTGGCAGAGTTGTGAGTACATGACTCTTTAAAGTGCTTTGTGCCTTCTTTGATAGATAAATATGGGTGATGATGTAGCAATGCTGTTTTGAAGACAAATGGCCAGTGAAGTTTTTAAACAGCAATACTACCAGATACAACTAGAGATCTCCTGAACTGAGAAATTCATTTTATGAGCATGTCTATGTTACGGTTTTAGAAGCAAGTTGTTGACAACATTGTCGTTTTCATAGGAATTCATATTGCTGATGATGTGTATAACTGAAATCTTTCCTGTTCACTGTTCATTTTCTAGAGTTGCGGGCCACCCTCTGGCACAGAATGAACGCTGTCTTCATATGTTCTTGCAAGATGAAGTAATAGACAAAAGCTACACACCTTCCAAAATAAGACACGCTTGAATGCTGCACAACACTTTAACTGGCGTAAATGTTAGTGATTAATTTACTTGGTCTAAGATATGTAGTTTAAGGTTTTAGCATGCTGCAGACAAACTGGCACAAGAAGCCTTCGGTATACTAAAGGCACTGCTTGGTCTTTGCATTCCTTTTATGGCATTAAAGAACTGTAGGTAAATCTGCTGTCAGACTTCTGATTCAATGGCTTTTAAGACTCTAAATATTTCGAAACTCTTTCCTCCCCCACCCCCTTTGCAATGACCTTGTGGTGGTTACTGACTTGGCCTTACTTGAACTTGCACTGTTCTGGTGTTGCACGTTCACTTTTCTTTGATTTAAAACACTAGAATGTCTCTGTAAAATAACTAGTATTCACTCTGCAATTTGGTGACTAACATGGTGCATTGTTTTCAATACCCCCTTGTGAATATGAGCACTTCTGTAGTTGTATCCTTCAGGTTGAAAAAAACAAACCTTTGTACTGAAAAGCAATGAGGGAACTATCTTTATATTGTGTAAAAAAAAAAGAAATCAGATTTGTATACTAAGATCATTTGTCTAAAGTTGTTTTGAAATAAAAAATGAAAATGCAATTAATTGTCTTTTTTGCTATGGGGGAATATTGAATTACCTCACTCGCAAGTATTGCCATAGACTGAAAACATGAACTTGTCCAATTGAATGGCATAAAATCCCCACTCCACTGGAAACTGGCAGAATTTCAGTAAGCTTATACTAGAGTCCACAGTTATCCTTAGTTTCCCTTTATGCAATCAGCTGAGTGCCTCCCAGTTTGGAGAGAGAGAGAGTTGGGTCTCCTTTCCAACTTATGGTGAACGTGTCACTGGATTTTCTTGGCAAGATCAGTTCAGAGGTTGTTTGCCATGGCTTTCCTCTACCTGGGATGAAACATATTAGAAATTATTGTAGTGGAGGATCCCATTTTGAAAAAAAACAAAAAACCTCTTGGCACACCTGTAAAAGAAAACAAACAGAAGCAAGTGGCTGTTTTGATAACAATTTGTCAAAAGAATATTACCAGCAGGCAATGGCAAGCATCAGCAGAGAGAGAGAACAACATTTCATCGAAGACCATACTGTTATATATACTTAATATATTTTTATTTTTTGTAGATACAATGAGTACAACCTTAACTTCACAAATCAGTTAATCCACTTTTGTACAGGAGAAGTTTTATTCATTCTATGATACTTCAAGTGCTGAACCTCTTTTCTCAGTGCTAGTTCCTAAAACAAATAAAAACTTTAAAAGTACAGCAGTTATCTTTCATTTTCTCCTACATTTTTGATAAGTCTCGTCAAATTAAGCATCCCATTATACAGGTTTTTGTGGGTCTAGGTGGGCAAATGGGAAGGGAGATGAGAGAGAAAGACTTTTATTGGAACCTGGGATTTTCTAAAAACTGCTAGACTATTAGGTTTGTATTGATCAATCAGCCTTTCCACCTTTTGTAAGATTTCAAGCTGTTTGTTGTAGGTTAGGTACCTTCTTATACATCTCATTGACAAAGAGTTTGGACCCATTGCCTTTGGTTTCAGCACTATGCCAGTGGGACAGCAATGACTTCACTCTATCCTCTCTATTTTCTTTTATTTGGTTTTGCTGTTTAGTCTTCACTTAACAAGTGGTTTTAATAAAACTTTTTTAAAGCTCTTCTGTCTGAGATGCTAAACTGAACGGAAACATTGCCAAGACTTATATGTGAAGTTTGTTGCTTTATTACTGTTTTTAAACAGGCAATGTGATTCCAAAATACTTTACTCCTTATAAAGCCAAGGCCACTTTTATTATACGTTGGAACTGAAGGACATGGTTTGATAACCTGGTATTTAATATCCCCCCCCCTTATAAAAATGGATTCACCAAGAAAGTATTTTGGAGAGGAAATGATATTTTGAAGGCCACCTCATTACACATGACAACAGAATGATGTTTGGTTACCCTTTTTTTCAAATTATGAAAAAAACAAATGCTAAAATACCTTTTTTTATTCTGACAAATCTGCCACCTAAAGGACAGACTAGTACAAGCTTTTGTTAACTGAATGACAACTCAATTGGTTCAACCAAATGGCTATAGGAGAAGCAGCTGCCAAATTTAGACCAGTCTTTTTGGAGCACAGTACTTTACCCACAGTCTCAAATTGGTTGGTTCAAGGCTTCAAGAGCTCTTGTTTATTGGATTTCATTTTGTCAATAGGTTAAACATTTTCAAGCTTCAGCTTCTTGTAGAGTCGGTTTTGTTGAGGCTTGCTCTCCGCTGATTAAAAAGAATTCATAATAAGCTGTCACTTTGACCATTTTGTCCCTCTTCAGCTCTGTCTATATGTCACTGGATTTGTACATATCTGAAAGCAGTCTTGTAATTGGCACATTTCCAATGGTTTTTTTGAAAAAGACTTCTTCTATTGTCGAGGGGCTAATGGAGCGTAAAGCTGGCAAGAGCAGCAAGAGTTTCCCAAAACGGCAAGGCTGTGTGGGATACCTAGAAGGTAAACAACACACAAACTAATCAAACTGTAAATGCAATTTATCTGTTGTCTCGATAAAGACAAACAAAATGTTAACCAAATAGAATATTTGATCTGAATTATGGATCTAGACTAAAAATGCTAGCAGTAAGCCAAATGTTGCCCTCCAGATGTTCTTAAACTTCATTCCTCACCATTGTTTGGGCTGGCTCGGACTGATAGATATACAGTTCAACAACATCTGGAGAGTCATACCTTTCCCATCCTTATACATTGCAGTATTGCAGGCAAGAGAGAGCTCCGTGTTGATATTGATATCAGAAATTCACTAAGAACCTGCTACAATTTAATGTTACATTTTAGTTTTTAAAAGCTGCCTTTGAGCACAGCCCAAGAATTTGAGTTCACTGCTACAGCTATATTCACAGTCCTTTCTCCCTAAATCCATTCATGCCTGTTTCTTTCTGTTGTTGCTTTGTCAGACAGTTGGATTCTGATCAATGCCAAATGTGAAATCACCTAGATTCTATCATTGGGTTGCTGTGAGTTTTCCGAGCTGTATGGCTATGTTCCTGAAGGATTCTCTCCTGATGTTTTGCCTACATCTATGGCAGGCATTCTCAGAGGTTGTGAGGTCTGTTGGAAACTAGGCAAGTGGGGTTTATAAATCTGTGGAATGTCTAGGGTGGGAGAAATAACTCTTTGTCTGTTTGAGGCAAGTATGGATGTTGCAATTGGCCAGATTTTTTAGCATTGAATAGCCTTGAAGCTTCAAAACCTGGCTGCTTCTAGATTGTATCAGTTGATTCTCATGTACTTTGTGGTCGTCCTGAGGTAATGGACAGAATCAGTGTTTAAACTGGATCACATTTCTGTTCTGCCATGAAATATTTGTATTTCAAATCAATAAGAAACTTAAGAATTTAACTTGGGATTATTCAAGTTCTTTACACAGTACATTCTCCCTGCTTCATCAGTTAAAATTATAAATATTTGGGACTAGATCCAATTGTTACTCTTAACTAGAGTATATCAGTTGAATCAATGGAACTTACATAAATGTTGACTTCGTATGCGCTCAGCGATTCAGTAGGTCTACACTTGCTGGGGCAAATACTAAGATTTATCTAATACTAGCCATCTCCTGCCATGCGTTGCTGTGGCCCAGTCTGTGTATATGTGTTTTGTGTGTGTATATATGTGGTTTAGCACATGTGTTGTAATGTATTTTTTAATTTTTTTGGCTTTTAAATCCCTTCCACTGTGTTTTTCAGTGTTTTTATGAGTCATGGTCACTCGCTGGCCTGATAGGTGTATTGTGTCCAAATTTGGTGTCATTTCGTCCAGTGGTTTTTGAGTTATGTTAATCCCACAAACGAACATCACATTTTTATTTATATCGATAAATGTAAAGCACTTGGAGCCCAGCAAGAATAAAATTACAAATTAAAACAGTATCTCTAATACAGCCATAGGAAATCATGAAGTCCTCCAGATGTTGAACTACAGCTTCCCGAATTCCTTACCACTGGTTTCGCTGGCTGTAGCATCTGGAGGATCCTATGCTTCCCACCTCTATTCTAATCAAACAAATTAAAAGGTAGTGAATTAAAAGTGCAAATACTTTGAAAGAAAAGCGGGGGAAAGTCAATTGTAAACATGTCAGTTACTTCTGAAAAATAACTCCATTTCATCTTACTTAAAACAGTTTCCCATTCACCAGAAAGTGCTATACAGATGGTGGGAGACTCTGTTCAATAGCGTGATTCGTGGTATAGGCAGATCGGGGACCCCTCCAAATCCTGCAGAAGGCAATTTCTGGATTAGACTCACCATGTCAGGGGTAGCGAATCTTTGGCCTTCCAGATGTTTCAGACAACCACTCCCACCATACTTTATCGCAGGCGTGGGCAAACTTTGGCCCTCCAGGTGTTTTGGACTACAACTCTCACAATTCCTAACAGCTGGTAGGCTGTTAGAAATTGTGAGAGTTGAAGTCCAAAACACCTGGAGGGCCAAAATTTGCCCATACCTGCTTTATTACCACATTTAGTAATTTGACCTTCTGGGAGTTGAAATCCAAAGTATTTGGAGGGCATTCCCAAGGCCTGTAATTCCTCAGTTATCTAACCTATTACCTGGTGATTCTATTTCATATTTTCATTTGCATGTCAACACAAATACAGAGCTTGAAAGATACTCCCAACACCAGTGTCCTCACCTAGTATGGATGTAGCTGTTCAGGGTGAGCTGGGCTTCGTCTTGAAGAGCTGCAATGGCAGCAGCATTTCTAAAACTTCTGAGTTCTGAACCACTGTGCGTAGGTACTGCAAAGCAGATAAAGGACACTTGACTTCAGCCATCAGAACAGTCCAGTCCAGTCAGCATTAATTAGGTTTCACTTCTTTACCTCACAATTCCATAATAGCACAAACATGTAGGTTGTTCCAGTTTATCTGCTTATGACATAACTTGGTGTTATCCTGGTCATAGTTTTGGATTACAACACTCAGCGTCCCCAACCGGCTTCCCCAAAAGCAAAATTTCCAAGCTTGTGTTGGGCTACAGTAGCCACAACCAATTGGGAATGATTATATATACTTAAGACTATATCCCAGAATCTGATCCCAGGTTTTCTGCATTAAACTGGATTATATGAGTCTCCACTGCCAGATAATCTGGGATAAACAGAAAACCTGGGATCAGATCCTGGGCTATAGGGCATGTCAGGAAAAGCCCTAAGATAACGGAGATTGGGGATTTATTTTAGCATTTGAGTTTGTTACCAAGTCAATAAAATTAGAAAATCTCCCAGGACCATTTTAATTATAAAATATCGTAATATATTTAGGTAACAAAAAAGCAATGCCATAGCGCGTGCAATTGCAGTTCTGGAAAGCTAATCAAGATTTAAGATGGTGAGTCTGAAGAAAAAATTGAAACATTTGTCAAATGTTTTCCTCGTTTTTTCAAATATTTTTATGTATGACTATCAAATCATTACTAATTTCTTGTCTTGGTTTCCTTTTCTCGGTTCTTTTATGGGAATGTGTGGCTTGTGTCTGCTTGGCTATATGGAGAACCAGTGGAGACAACATAATTTTCTCTTTTCTTTTTCTGTGAAGCAGGCAAGTTATTCTTACCTGCTTCACAAACTGACAAAGTCAGAGGTCCCTTACCAGTCAGATGTTCCTAACCTTGTAAGTTTCATGTGTGCCAAGTAAATACATTTGGTGTGTAATTACATTCTGAATAAAGTGTATTTTTACTGTATCACATGATACTTTTATGCTAACTCAAGCTCTATATAATGCATTTTATGTTCCTAAAATGACACTTTCAATTTGCAAAAGGTGCTAATACTCCATGTTAATTTCCCTCCAAAAATGTCCATATTTTTTGAGACAAACTTCTCCAAAAAAATTATTTCTCACGGCTTCAAAATATTAGGGAATTTTACATCTCTCCTCAAAATAGGAAGATCATTAACATCTTCTAGACTTGGGCAGTTATTGAAGGAACACAAATCCTGTCCCAGGATTGCTTTAATGATACCCAAGTGTAGGATATTGATGGCAGCGTTAAAACTAACATAGGGCATAGCATCATTGGAACATAAAGAAAACACACCTTAATTTTTTCCTAGACTAGGAGAGGTCACCTCCCACTATCAGCTGAGATATTGTATGTACCTAAGAAACATCTCCTGCCCTGATCTTCAAATGCATCCTAACAGCAAGCATCCACACAGTTGAAGGCAATTGTGCTGGCAATCGGGATAGAGCAGAATGAGGTTTCCAGCCCCTTCCTACCATCAAGTGAGGAAGCAACAACAAGACGCAGAGCCTCTCCAACGGTTTCATCACAGCTTTGCATACTGACAGGAAGAGGCTGGAAATGTCATCCTCCTTGAACCCCATTCAGCAGCTGAAAAGACCTTCATTGCTCAGTGTGGCTGCCTGTTAAAATGGGAAGGCATTTACTACCATACTAATATTGTTACAAACATGTCCATGAATACAAAGCAGTTGTAAATGTGTATTGTTGAAGGCTTTCATGGCTGGAATCACTGGGTTGCTATAAGGTTTTTTTGGCTGTATGGCCATGTTCCAGAAGCATTCTTTCCTGACGTTTCGCCTGCATCTATGGCAGGCCTCCTCAGAGATTGCAAGGTCTGGCCATACAGCCCGAAAAACTTACAGCAACCCAGTTGTGAATGCATAACCGGAATACAGGATGCACATTTTTTGTAGCCCAATGTTGCTAAGATTGACCACCAACAACTGGGAACACAATAATGGATTTATGGGGAGAAGAGTAACGCGAAGTCTAAAGGAATTTTTACAGTGCTCAAGTGTAAGGAACAAGGATGGCCACATTGTTTACACTGGAATTGTCTTGCCGTCCCAGCTGAGATCTGCTTGGCAGAGTACATGGTATAGCCATTCAGTGATTAGCCTCACTGTCATCTGCTATTGGAAGGAGCATTTGGGATAACCATTCATAGCTTTTTGTGTATGCCAGTAGCAATGCAATCCTGTGGTCTCTGAGAAGTAAGTATTTGAGAGGCCATAGGATGGATTGAAAATCCTCCTTCAAAATGGGTGGCATCGTTGCAACCTCAGGGGAAGACATGTAAAAGGTCCATGATCTTCATTTCCCCAAGAGAGAGGTTCAATGACAGAGATAGGGAAAGGGAGAGGGAGTCAAGGTGTGTGTGTTGTGGGCTAATAAACCATGCTGGGAACTTAGACTAGCCCTGAAAGTATTCTAAATTTATTTCTTCCTATTGCATGCAGTGAGAGGGAAATCTCTTTCTGTAAGAAAAGAGAGAGGAAGAGGAGGAGGAAAAGAAGCTAAAGCCACTTCTTCCTGCCTCTCTCCCTCCCTTCCGAAAGGAACCTGACAGACATGAATATTTCAGGTGTACTAGCCCCCGGTGGCACAATGGGTTAAACCACTGAGCTGCTAAACTAGTTGACCAAAAGGTCTCAGGTTCGAATCCAGAGAGCGATGTGAGCTTCCACTGTCAGCCTCAGCTTTTGCCAACCTAGCAGTTCGAAAACATGCAAATGTGAATAGATCCGGTGGGAAGGTAACAGTGTGCCATGCAGTCATGCTGGCCACATGATCTTGGAGGTGTTTACGGACAACGCCGGCTCTTCAGCTTAGAAATGGAGATGAGCATCGTGTCCCAGAGTCGGACATGACTGGACTTAATGTCAGGGGAAAACCTTAACCTATCTCATAGTTCTCCAACTTGAGGGTTAGATTGATTAGCTTAGTCTATTTTCATGCTCCTCTTACCAGCTTTAAAAGTGACAATGCATTTGAGGCAGGCGAATTCTGTAGCATCTAACCGAAGCTGTCGAAATCTAGCCACAACCTCTTGTAACGCCTGTATTTCTGAGATAATCTTATTTAGCTTTTGAGAATCTGTGTTGTCACCGTTCATGCCTGGAATACAAACGTGTGAAATGCATACAAGGTTAATTCATTTTAAATATCTGATATAAGTAAAAAGATCATATGTATCAATAGCCATTCAATTGTCACTGTCTGAGATCTGCTTCAACACAAAACTGACTATATTATGGGAAAGTTAGTATGAAATCTTCTCTTGGATGATAACAAACACAGTAATTTGCATTTAAATGACAATGCAAGCCATCGTGAATGCAACAAAACAACACTATTTGCATTTAAATATAGATTTATAAATGACAGGTATACTCTATTGTTTGGAAGAGATTTGTTATTCTTTACATGTTGTCCTTTTTTCAGTAATGTATTTTTATGTTAATTTCTATAACAAAGTCATTAAATTGTGCAATTCTTACCCGACACAGCCAGTAGAGTGTTAGCATCAACTGGAATGGCCCATTGTGCTATTCCTAGAACAAACAGTTCCCTCCAAGCATCTTCCAAAAGCATCAGCTGTCATACAATAGAGGTACAATATAACATGGTGTATAATTTATAGATTGATAAACAATTCCAATATGTAAATTTCTGGGTGCTTTTTAAAATAATGGCTTTTAAATGCGTCTACTATTTCCCCTTTCCTACTCTTGCTTCGAATATGGTAGTTAATCCTTTTCTCATTTTGATCCACAGACCATGTGCATCCATAGATGGTCTGGAAACCTGTGCCTCTGTCTGGTGTGGTATAGCTTTGAAATTACAGTTTCTTATGATGTTTAGGAACATAAATAAAGATATTGTGCTCTACAGCATGAAACCACAATGAAGCTCCATTCCTGAAAGGGACTATTACCTATCCTTCCTGGGTTTTTTCCTCAAAGCATTATAAAAAATAGAGCTAAATGCAATAGAGCGAAAATATTTTTCTGAACTAATGGAGATGAATCCAACAACCAAATACTTTTGCAAAAAAGCCCCACGTGAGCTTTTGTGTGGAAACTTGTGTAATGAAACAAACTAGGAGAGACAAGCAAACTACAGCCAGTTCTACAGTTCTGATATTCTATAGACTTGTTAGAAATTGTGCAGAAACATTTCTCTCCGCTAGTTGGGAAACGCAGGATCATATATAGCTGAATCTAGCCTTTCTGTGGTCCTAATTCAACCCTCTGGGTTTTTGCAGATAGCCATATTTCCTTTCACATAGCACCATCATTTTGTCTCCAGATTTCTCTCTCATTCAGGAGAAATAGGAGAATACAGTACATTTACTACACTTGGGGCCCTTCCACACAGTCATATAACCCAGTATATCAAGGCAGAAAATCCCACAATGTCTGCTTTGAATTGGGTTGTCTGAGTCCATACTGTCATATATTCCACTTCAAAGCAGATAATGTGGGATTTTATTCAGCTGTGTAGAAGGGGTCTTGGTTACTGGCAGTAGGATCTTTAAGGAAAAATATTTTGGTCGAAACGTCAGGAGAGAATGCTTTTGTAACATGGCCATACAGCCTGGAAAACTCACAGCGACCCAGTGATTCCAGCCATGAAAGCTTTGGTTTCATTAGCTTTACTTTTTAGCCTTTGACTCTGGCCATCTCCTTATGGGAATTTCTCTGAAATTGAATGTACCTGTAAGGCCGAAAGACATTCTCCCTCCTTGCTCCCTCCTTGTAGCACCCTCACTCTGCATGTTTATCCTACAACGTGGACCACTATGTAAATCTACTCTATTAGAAAGGAATGAAGCATGTTGGAGATCAGACAAAAGGAATCTGACTTTTCAGAACAATATGTTTTGTGTGCCTTCTCTCCATTGTATGATATGGTTTTCCTGACAATTACTTCTATCAGTCATAATTAAGGTCCCTTCCACACAGCTGTATAAATCCACATTGAACTGGATTATATGGCAGTATGGACTCAGCTAATCCAGTTCAAAGCAGATATTGTGAATTATCTGCCTTGATATTCTGGGTTATATGGCTGTGTGAGGGGGCCCTTTACTACCTACAGGCTGAAATGTTGAATAAACTCAACTGGGCATGAAGTCCTCATTGGTCAGGAAGAGTATCAATCTAGATGCTTCTCTGACTTCAGAAAGACACCAAGAGAAGTAACATTTTCTAGGCTTTAATTGCCATGGAGCTTTCCTCACTTTGAGGCTGACAGCCCAGGGCCCATCCACCCAGCCCTATATCCCAGGATATCAAGTCAGAAAATCCCACAATATCTGCTTTGAACTGGGTTATCTGAGTCCATACTCAGATAATGTGGGATTTTCTGCCTTGATAACCTGGGATAAAGGGTTGTGTGGAAAGGCCCTCTTGGACTCAAAAATATCTGACCATCTTTAAATACTGATGAAGGTGATCTTTTTCTCTTCGTGTTAGAAAATTATCAATCTTTGGCCACTTGATTAGCTGTTTTTGTATCCCTGTAGTTACAAAAAACAGAAAGGCATAAGATGGACCTCCTTAAGTCAGTTCACTTGAGAGGACAGAAATGATCTGGGATAGAACTCGAGGAAGTACAACTAACACACAGTATGGACTGCTCCAAGTTCTGAGCTGAGAGCAACCTTCTCAAAGTATTAGCAGTAACATTTACCTTACAGTTGTTACATAGACATGTCTTGACAAATCACTTGCAAATTATCACTGCAAACAGACCTGTTATACATGTCAGAAATCGGGGATATTCACACGTGTTATAATTGTGGTCAGAAAGAAAAGGGCTGTTGAATGTGTTTCACGTAGCTACATCTCCACATCTCTTAATGCTACCTTCCCCAAACCTACCTTGTTAGCATCATAGCCCCTCAACACAACAATTTTGTGTTACCAGAGAGCAGAAGGATCAACTCAGATATGTCCAGCTCTTTTCCTTTACCTGGATGTGCCATGATGAGCATTTTCAGGAACCTCCAAGGCTCCTTAGCATGTTCTTGAAGATGTCATCTTGCAGCATGTCCAGCTATAGGAAACACCCGCGATCCTCTCACTCTCTCGCAACTTGTAAATGGCCAAGTTGGGAATGTGTTGCTGTACTGTTTACAAGGTGGGTTGGGGGAAATTGGGATCATCACATGATTGAAACCAGAATCCCAACTTTTACAATGGTTTCAAAACAGTGAGTCACAAAATTCCAACTCGCACTGTCATAATTCACTAATAGCATGCCAGCCATAGTCTCTGTCCTATCCTTACCTAAACAACTCAGAGGTGACCTTCAGAGCATTTATCTTTCTGTTGTGCTCCTTACATATGCAAGTAATTCTGACATAAATGCTGTAATCGTAAACACAATTATTTAGCGGTAAGTCCAGCTCAACGCGACTGACTGCCATCTGATGAAATATGCATAGGACTGGGCTACAAAGTGCACCATCATAACAGTACCAACAGCAACTTCCATCTGTCTTTCTGTTTCCCACATTATTGGGTATAATTATTGAAACTAGAATTTGCATTTGATGAAGTAGGAGAACAATGGGAAGAAAAATACCCTATCCTAAATTCCCCATTCTGAATTTGGGTTGAGCTAAAGCTGTTAGCTCCTAGTCTGGTCTCTCCAACCCAGAGAGGATAATGATGTCGTTAATAAAATCCTTCGGCTTCCTGGGTGGACGGCTGGGATGGGGTGATTAATTTCACATAACGATTTATGAAACTTGCCTTTAATTTTCCCTGTTAGATATGCAGACGGTTCATTTAAAAATGACAGGATAATCTGATTTCTGACATGGATAATAGGCCTATTCTGTAGAGATCTGTTCAGTGATAACTTGAATCTCTGCTAAGCCATCCAAGTATATTGATGGGACTCTCATTTCTCTGTAAGTCCTCTCTTCATGCTCTACCTCTCTTACGTCTTTTCTGCAACTTGAACGGCCTTTCAGAGAATGTTCTACAGCAAAATGAATTAAATCTTGGCCTAAATGAGGGATGGAGAATATGCAGCCTCCACCAGATATTATCGCTTCAGATGAGGGATGGAGTCTATGTGACCCCCATCTAGACAACAATTCCTGTCATCCCTTGTCATCAGCTAAACTGGTTTAGGACTGATGGAAATTGGGAGCATGGGGACCTGTAGGACCACATGCTCCCAACTATGACCTTACAGAGAAATCCATACCCTGCCATATCACTGGAAGGAGGGTTGTAGAGCCAGGGAAGAGCAGGTAGTTTAGTCAGGTTTTGGAGTTTTATTCTTTTGTGAAAGGCAGGGAAAGGAAAAGAAGGACCTCTTTAATTCAAGTTTCAGCTGCACCTTCTCAGCATTCATACCAAATCTATGTTTCCATGGTGTAAAACAAGTGGGAAAAGGTGTGGGAACATAAGTCAAACTGAAATAAAGATAAGCAAAACAACCTTTGTCTTTCATTTCACCCAAGTGTATCTTCCTTCAAGTAAAAGTGTTGGTCCTGACCAGAGAAAATTAATTTTGCCCAATGTCTGTTGAAGTGATTAAAAGACCCATTGGCCTCAGTGGGGTTGAACTGTAGTGGAGTTGAAGTGTGATCCCACCCCACGCATCTCAGTCCCACTAGCAAGCGAGGCTGTGACAATCAGAAGCAGGGTCCCTATTGTCACAGCCTCGTTTGCTAGTGGGAGTGAGATGGAAACATCATCCACCTGTGTACTCTATCGTTGGTATAGCTGCTTCATGGTCAAGTAGGCTTTTTGGGGGGAGGGCCAAAAAATGTCATGATTGTGACTACATAAGGTTTGTGAATACAGATCAGTTACAGATGCTATGCATCTTCAAGTATGATACTGGATGTCAGTCCTGCACATGAACAAACTCATCCACCAAATAAAAATCATACTTGGGTTCAGTTCCATACCATCTAAAATTGAGCTCATGAAGCTGGTGTCTTTGAGAATATATAATATAACAGATAGCTTGGTCTATTTTAATCAATTGTTGGACAACACAACTCTACTAATATGGTCTGAATCAATCTTGAACACGCAGCTCCAGAACAAGGATCTACCTAGAGCACAGAAGTAACTACCATATATTTTTTTTCAATTATAAGATGCACCCCCATTTCAGTGCCACCATCACCAACAAAAATAAATGAGATACACCTGTGATTCCATTTTAGGGATGTTTATAAAAGGGGGAAAGTGTGTCTTAGAACTGAAGAAATACAGTAGTTATAGGAATAAGGTATAACAGCACATATTGCTGTTGTAACATGACCAAGGAAAACATACTCCTTCAATTTAGTAACTGGGTTGATGTAGGTTTTTTCGGGCTATATGGCCATGTTCTAGACACTCTCTCCTGACATTTCGCCTGCATCTATGGCAAGCATCCTCAGAGGTAGTGAGGTAGCCTTCGACAATACAATTTAGTAACTTTTGAGAAATTATAAGACTAGCTCATTTTGAAAAAGGAGGATCTTAAAACTGCTGGCTCAGTCAGTAGTTCTAAGATTCTCCTTTTACCTTCTGAAAGTAACTAATTACCTTGAGGCAAACCAAGAATGGGCAACTTGGAAGTCCATAAACAGACTCAGAAACAGACACTTCTGGGCAGAATTGATCTGCCAGAAGTGGAGTGGGCAGATCAAAAGACAACTTGGCAAAATGGCACTACCTAGAAGAATCTTTCACTTTGTGTGACTGTGAAGCAGAACAAACAACTCAAGATCTGTATGCTTGCCCACAATGCCCTGCCTCATACACAGAAAAAGAACTGTTTAAAGCTATAGACAATGCAGTCATTGTTGCTTGTTTTTGGTTTAAAACTGCTTAGCTGCTTGTGGTTCCTTTATTTTATCAGTTTTAACCCTATTTATTTATGTAATGCTTTTGACACAAGATAAATAAACCTTCTGAAAGTTACTTTCCAGGCTCTAGTCCCTCCCTCATTCTCAGTTAGTTAATTTGACATAAAACTTACCTGGTCTTGTAATGAAAGGGTAGAAAAAGCTGGCACGCTCTTAGCCCATTTAATGCTCATGAAGAGAAGCCGTGCTGCGGATTCACAAACTGATTCAGTAGCCACTTCATAGAGATACATGGGAGTACCACTGACTTCATGTGGATACTAAGAGTAAAATGAGAAGGAAACAGTAGGCATAAGCTCACAGCTGGCTCGGAAACTCTCTCTAGTTGTAATGAATGGTTTGATTATCCAATCCGTTTCTGACGAAGAAAAATATATTAAAAATGAGGAGGGGAAGAAAATTGAGGAGGGCTCCCAAAGGAGAAAAGGGAAAAAAAGGTTACTTTGCAAAGTAAGTGAGTACTGGGAGAATTCTGGAAGTTGTACTGGTCCAAAAACCCATTATTTTCCAAGCTCTGATTAAAATGGATACCACATTCTGGCAGAAAGGGCAATACAAATTTGCATTTTTCTTGGATGGTAATAAGGAAATTCATAAAACCAAACTGAAGAATTTATTATTCAGGAAGTCTGATCCAATGAACCATTGTGTAAATGAACCATAACTTTGAGTGGAGCATAAAAGGTGGAATCTAGAACCTGCGTTTTCTGGATGGAAGAACTCTTTCCATTAACACGAAGCTTCTAATCCAGAAGAAGATATCTACTGGTTTTATTTATTTATCGTGTCAGGAGCAACCAGACAATCTACTGGTTGAAGAGGAGGGAGAATAATCTTTCCACTTTATCACATTAGGCAGGGAAGTGTGTGGCAGAGGAGAGCAGAGCTGAGCTCAGTCTTACTCAGTTTTTTTTAATGAAATGGATGTTTTCCCTCCCTTCTATCACATTGTTAAATGTCTCTCAGTTTCCTTTCAGCATTCTTTCACGCTGCAGAGATTTGGCCCTGGCCACCATCCCTTTCCTTGTATGGCATAATAACAATAATCCTTCCCTTCGGGCTTTCCTATGCAACACAAGGCATAGACAAATAATAATAATAATAATAATAATAATAATAATAATAATAATAATAATAATAATAAAAAAACTTTATTTATATTATATTCTGCTCTATCTCCCCAAAGGGACTCAGGGCGGATTCCAAACATAAAAGGCAAACATTCAATGCCCGAATACAACAACAATACATCAATGCTAACAAAAGTTATACAACCCAACATATAAATACAAATTATAACTTAACAAACTAAAATTAAATAAAAAGCACAGCCTGTTAAAACAGACATAAGACAAAGCATTCAACATCAAATGGAAACATTGATTTCCCATTTCTTTGGGCGAATCAAATAATCATATAACAAAAGGAAGGAAAGGAAAGGACCCAGAAAGGCTTTTTTTTTTAAAAAAAAAGATTTTTTTCTAGTAAAGTAAAAACGCGGTGAGCAAAAGGTAATGTTTTCCCTAACAAGAGTACTTTTGGCTCCTCCCACAATTTCCCCTCCCACAAATTGGGAAAACTAATGCCATCACATTACAGAAACGGCCAAACATCCACATAATTTCAAAACATCCACTTTCCCACCACCTCATGAAACACTTTAAAATAATACTGACCGTCATGCTTAAAATACATAAAGAATGTTCTATCCTACACTTGAAGCCAAAGTAATGTGATGAAAAGAGTGACTTCCCAGTTTTTAAGTGTATCTCTCAGTGGAATTTAAAATAAATAAAATTGTTCTCACATAGCAATCTGTCAATCTGTTAATGAAGATATATATATATCTAAAATGATCAAGGGTCTGGAGAACAAGCCCTATGAGGAGCGGCTTAGGGAACTGAGCATGTTTAGCCTGAAGAAGAGAAGGCTGAGAGGAGATATGATAGCCATGTATAAATATGTGAGAAGAAGCCACAGGGAGGAGGGAGCAAGCTTGTTTTCTGCTTCCTTGGAGACTAGGACGCGGAACAATGGCTTCAAACTACAAGAGAGGAGATTCCATCTGAACATTAGGAAGAACTTCCTGACTGTGAGAGCCGTTCAGCAGTGGAACTCTCTGCCCCGGAGTGTGGTGGAGGCTCCTTCTTTGGAAGCTTTTAAGCAGAGGCTGGATGGCCATTTGTCAGGGGTGATTTGAATGCAATATTCCTGCTTCTTGGCAGGGGGTTGGACTGGATGGCCCATGAGGACTCTTCCAACTCTTTGATTCTATGATTCTATGATTCTATGTAATGTTCGTTTGTGGGACTGACATTACTCAAAAACCACTGGATGAATTGACACCAAATTTGGACACAATACACCTATCAGGCCAACAAGTGACCATCACTCATAAAAATACTGAAAAACACAGTGGAAGAGACTTAAAAAGCCAAAAATTTAAAAATACATTACAATGCATGTACAAAACCACATATATACAAATATATACACACACATATACACATATATATACACACACAAAACACATATACACAGTCTGGGCCACAGCAAAGCATGGCAAGGGATGGCTAGTGTGTGTGTGTGTGTGTATAACACAATAATATGGCTAATTAGGTTCTTGTGGGTTTTTTCGGGCTATAGAGCCATGTTCTCTAGAACATGGCTCTATAGCCCGAAAAAACCCACAAGAACCTAGTGATTCCAGCCATGAAAGCCTTCGACAATACATATGGCTAATTGCAATAAACCATTACGCTAACCTAATTATGTAAATATTCATTTAATGACTTGATTTGGTAAGTCTCCCTCCTAGCACCACTACCAAACAATTAAATAAAACTCACTGACTTGGACATAATATTTTTGAGTCAGAATAAGCTATTTAAGGAAGCATTTTGAAATAGGTGCTCGCCTATGCATGTTAATTTAGCTATAAATCACATTGTGTTCTTATGATGTTTACTGGAGAGTAAACACTCAATGTGGTTGGCAGTAAAGGATTGTGGTGATCCTAGTACACATTTTTGTTATGCAAAGATCTGATTTGCACAGATCTGTTGCCATGAATTTGCCCAGGTGACTTATTGCAGTACTGTCCAAGCAGAAAATTAAATGCATGAAGGTTGCCATTTAGGAAAGCCCCCTTTCTTAAGAACCAAAAATAATAATAAAAAGCTGACCTTTGGAGTTGGTTGAGCCAGTCCCACCAAGCTCTGCCTTTCTGGAGTCGTTGAAACGGCACCCAGTTCTAGATTATGAGGTTCCAGTTGTGTAACTGTGGTGAAGAAAGCCGGGGCAGGGAGAGCGGCAGAAGGGAAGTGTGGCGTGGCTCCATTATCTTCCTTGTGTCCTCTGAAATACAGAGCTACTTGTTTCCTTATTGTGGATGTCCTTGGTCCCCTTTCATGTTGAACAGCTGAGGATTTTGAGAAACAAAACAAAACACCTCTCTTAGTATTCAACTCTGAATCAGAAAAAATATCCTTTTGAAGCACAAAACATGTAACTGGATTAATTAGCTGTGCAAATACATCTCTAATTATATCTATATAAAAACAGGCTAAAAACCTAGGTATTGGCTACCCTTTCTACACTGTGAATCGCAACACATCTGTGTGTTGGCTGAGTGTGTAGGTGTGTCACACAAACATAATGAGAAACCTCTGAATCTATGTGAAATAAGCAATAAATCATATATTTAAAAATGTAAATGGAAGATTTTCATGAGATATACTGTGACCCCATATATCTCGTTATTACAATTTAGGTATGTGTCTGTATCTCTTATAAGGAGCTGGTTTAACTTCCGGTTTGCTAGTAAAACTGAGTTAATGTGTTGTAAAATTATGCATGTTGTTATTGTTTTTGCTTATTTATTTATTTATTTATTTATAGTGTCACCCCGCAGGGGACTCAGGGCGGATCACAATGCACATATAAATGGCAAACATACAATGCCATAGACAAACAACATATACAGACAGACACACAGAGACTATTTAACTTTCTAGCTTCATTAGGGTATATTTTTTGAATTCCGGCCACCGGGGAGCTGTTGCTTCACCATTCACTTGTGACACCAATGGAGAACTTCCTCATTCTTTTGCATGCTGCTGGAGAGTTTTATGGCGTCGTAAATTAGTTAAATTAGCCTCCCTGCATAAGCAGTTCTTAAATTTCCCACTTGACAGATGCAATTGTCTTTTGGGCTGCAAAGGTCAACAGCAAGCTAGACAAATGGTCAGGAGCTTACTCCGACCCGGGCTGGCTTCGAACTCATGACCTTTTAGTCAGTAGTGATTTTAATGCAGCTGACTCCCAACCAGATGCCACAATCTTATATATTATTTTATGTGTGGCTGCCCCGAGTCCCTTTGGGGGAGATGGTGCCAGGGTATAAAGTTTATTATGTCAAAAAAATTGTCACCAACATGAAATGTTTGGTAAGCTCTGCTATAGTATCAACAATTCTCCATTTGCAGACCTATGGTGATTTCATTGAATGCTCACAAATCTTATAATTCATGACAGTAAACATATGAGGAATTGCATTTAGCACATGGAACTTGAATGTGGTTGGGAGAGAAACTTCACAGAGAAGCAAGAAAGAGATTTGTGGGTGGAATATTGAGAGTTAAGAAGATGGTGAAAACAAAAAGCATGTTTTGCAGTGGGTAAGAGAGTGTGAGTTGAATTTCACATATCGACATGGACAAACCAGCCAAATTTTCAGCTGCAGATCTCCAATGACATTGAACTGACTTCAATTATGTTTAGAGGCTGATTCAAATATTTAGTGGGGCAGAGAGACGGAGGACACGTACTGCTAACAAGATTGGATAATGACAAATTAAATAGTCTCGCCAGTCTTCAAGAGAAATGGGCAGTGTTTAAATATAGGCAAGAAAGCTATCATTTAGGAAAAATCACGAAATGGTCAGCTCTTCTTTTTTGGAGTTCATTATTCAAATATAACTTGTTTATTAAAAGAGCAGCTGGGAATTTCTTATTCCTGAATTGCCAATTCAAATTCATGTCCTGGCATATCAAAAAGTAAAAATGTACTAGATCCAGTCCAGAGTTCCCCATAAAATGAGATATTAGGTATGTAACTACTGACAAGTAGAGAAAAATGGTTCAATCAACTGGATCTCTTGATGGAAAGGAAATACTCATTTTCACCCACAGCAATAATATGTGATGCAACGTGACGCACACTGGATGATGTTCCTCTGGGGCATCTGTGTTTGTGGCATGACTCCTTGAGTTATCCCTCACTATGTGGATGTTACGTAATAGTAGTCCTTTTCTATTGTGGTAGGGGCTATGATTGTTGCTTAGAAATCTGGGGATCTGTCAGTTCCTAGGTGATATCATTAACTCAAAGTAATGGTCACATGAGGGAGTGTTTCCTTTTTTTCATCTCTTGATAAAATACACCCAGAGATGTGGTCCTACTTGTTGGAGCATGTAAGGAATCAGTGTGTGTGTGTCAACTGTAAAATAAGATGCATGAAGCTGATTGGTTGGGCTATACCCGGGGAGCAGGCTGAGCCTGGAACTTTTGATACTGTTACATTTTTGTTAAGGCTTGAGCTATGCAGGTTTTTGTAGCAGCAGATAGAGAAGCAGAGAGAGACAGAGTTTGGAGTGTGCTCTCACTTCGTGAGCTGCTGAAGGAGTTTATCTACACGGACAAAGAAAGACTGTTTTAAATCTCTCTTAAAAGGACATTATGTGAGTTGATACAACTAATCACATTGTACATATGTTGTTCTGAATTACAAAGAGTAAACTAGTTGTTATTCATTGTTCATCTGTGTGGAATTTTTTCTTTCTCTGGCAAGGCAGTGTGTGGGATGATCAAACGTGAACTACACGTGGTTTATTTTACATTATTTATTTTACATTATGCTACACTACTAACATTCCCCAAAGCACTTCCACTGTAGTTCTTCTGCCATCTAATAGTCATGTATATTAGAAACATGACTAACCTGGGTCTCATTCCCAGGTTAGATATACAGAAAGGGTACCTAACACCCCATATTTGAGGACCCTTTCCCTTAGCAGAGGGGGAGGTATGACAAACATATAGATGTCTCTGGGGAACTCCAATTTTCTTTCACAAGAAAGCATTTGTCCCTGGGGCTTGGGAGCTGGATTGTTTGGAGAGGGAGAAAGATGAACAAGTTAAATACCATCTTTATTCATGTTGACTTCCAAACATTTCTTCAGCCGACAGGCCCTGCATTGGTTCCTGTGCGTCTTGTCCACTGGGCAGCCTCCCTACAACAGAGAGATTGTTTTCATCAAAGAAGAAAGAGAAAAATAGATCTCAGCAATTTCAATCTGGAATAGGAAAAGACTTCATCCTTCACCTGCCGTAGAATTAATGCAGTTTGATGCCAGTTTAACTGCTATGGATCAATGATCTGGAATTATGCGAGTTTTTCAAGGTCTTTTGCCTTCTCTTATGCCAAACCAAACTACACCTCCCAGGATTCCAGATCATTGAGCCATGGCAGTTAAACTGGTATCAAACTGTATTCATTCTACATCATAGAGTAGATCAGGCATGTAGCCCGGGGGGGGGGGCTTGAGGGGCTTCAGCCCCCCCTGAAATTCTCATGGTGGTTCAAAAGGCCTTACTGGTGCATTATTTAAACTGTTATGTTTATTCATATCATGATCTGATCACCATACTCAATATATCCCATAAGCATGGGGGTATTGGGGTAACGATACAAAAGGTTTGCTAGGGTAGACCCTCTTTCACTCAGATTCATCCCCCCCCCAACAAACTCACCCCCCCCCCCCCGAATCGAAATCCTGACTACGGGCCTGGAGTAGATGTATCAACATACCCTTCTTCTCACCTGAAACATTATGGAGGGGAAAAGGCCCATCTTCAGCAGGTGATACACAAAGACTTGGAAAAGTTACCTTCTGGACTACAGCCTTTGGAATCCCCAAAGCGTGCATTTTACACTGTAGAGGTAGAGCAGTTTGACAGCACTTTAACTATGCTGCGCTATCATGGGAGGTGTAGTTTGGTGAGGCACCAGCACTCTTTGGCAGAGAACACTAAAGTCCTTGTCAAATTCCAGGATTCTACAGCACTGAACCTGAACCATGACAGTTCAAATGGGGTCAGACTGCAATAATTCTATAGTATAGATCAGGCTTGGGCCAACTTGGGCCTTCCAGGTGTTTTGGACTTCAACTCCAGCCATTCCTAACAGCCTCAGGCCCTTTTCCCTTCCCCCTCAGCCACTTAAACATACCTGGTATAGAAGCACCCTAACCCAAAGCTTTACATAGTATCGTTCCACAAGACAGAAATTAGACACTGAGGGGATCAGTTTTTCTACAGTCCCCACATTTCTAGTATTGCAGAGAAAGAGTCCCTGAACATCATTCACTCCTACAAATCTTCCATTTGTTGTGGTCGAATTTTCTTGGTTACTTTACCTGTTTTGGAGGTGCCTAAACAATATTTCTAAATGCCCAGCTGAAGTTTTAGGTAACTGCAATGGTAGAAATTTGGAAACTGATACAAAACTTCATTGAGAGAGTAAGACTTTTTTTTTTACTTGGGAATAATTGTTTTCATCCACTCCTCCCTTCAGTGAGATCACAATGTCTATAATCCACCACAGCTGTCACCTCCTCCATTGGGTTTTTAGCACTGTTCTCTTCCTTGTTTGCTTATCAGCCCAGAGGATGTCCAATGGATGCTTGAGGTAATGGATGCTTTAGGTTTCACTTGCTTAGATGAGTGCAAGAAGGCCTGGCATGAACTGCTTGGCTTGCAAGCTGTGGTGCGGGGTTAAAATCAAAGGTATCCTCTGCCTCGTGCGAGGGGGAAAGGCCGCAAAGGAGAGAAATGCCCGGCATTTAAAGCAGGCTGTTGTACAGTGAGTTCTCCCTTGTACTGGAGGAGCCTCCGTTTTAATCCTCCCATTGATTTTGTAAGGATCCTTCTCCTTTTGTGTGTGAGTGCCTCCAAGTCGCTTGTCGACTTATGGATGGAAAGCTCATGAATTTCATAGGACTTTCTTAGACAAGGAATAAGACTCCAGGGTGGTTCGCCATGCCCTTCCTCTAAAACAGTGGTTCCCAACATTTTTGGCCAGAGACCACTTGAGCAGGGGACCACTTTGACTGGGGACCACTCTCCAACATTAGTACCAAAAGGGTTGCGAATCAGTTTTTGGTCAACTTTAGATTCGGTTTGGTTATTTGGGGTGCTGATTCAGAACATTGTACTGGATAGACCACTTCAGTTCTAATTTCTGATACAGAACATATGGTAGTCACCATCTGCTCTCCCACAGGAAGCCATATTTAATAATCCAGAGCTGATGTGGTAGTAGTAATCTTTTGTGGGTAGTCAGCCTCTCCCCTCCCAACATCTCTGTTGCCTTAGCACTAGAAGAGGGTTTCGCGTGATCAGTCGCTCTCGTTGCCGCGTGGTTTTTCAAGGTAACGGTGTAGTAATGGTGAGGCTGCGGATCATATTTTTGTTCTTGCAGACCACTGGTGGTCCACAGACCACAGGCTGGGAACCACTGCTTTAAAAATATAACTTACAATGCCTTGGCCATCTCCCATTCAAGTACTAACCAGGGCTAGCTCTGCTAAACTTCCAAGACCAGGCGAATCTGGTGGCTTTGCTGCATTTAAAAGCATGTTTATATTTTATGGGAAAGTAGAAGGAGCTAAGAATCAGCTTTGTGTGCCTTTAACAAAAAAGCAATCAGGCTATAATTGTGTATTGAAGCATTCAAATACATAGTCTCTTGGAAAGAAAAATGTATGTAGGTGCCTTCGGTTCAAAATGGGATTGGCATCTTCTGTCCAAATCCTAAATCTTCCTGAGCTGTGACAGTGATGAGAGACAGAAATACAAGAAAGGAGAAAAGAGACTCTCTTGGGACTGACTGAATGAGAAATGGCTGAGTCCTAAAGTTGGCTCTGAGGATGAAGTTAGTTCTTAGAGAAAGATTTTAGGGCTGCCTTTTCCCAGTTCTATTTGATATCTACTGGCTGGGGTTTCTTCTTTTTGCAAAGGGCTTCAAGCCTGAAGAATAATGACATGGTACTTGGTATGTATAAATGCAAATTTATAAATAATCAGCAGAGTCTACTGACATTTCACAGGACTTTACTTGGTTGTGTTGCTGTGAGTTTTCCAGGCTGAAGCATTCTCTCCTGGCCTTTTGCCCACATCTATGGTAGGCATCCTCAGAGATTGTGAGAATCCAGATTTTTGCACCTCTGATACAAACTCTTTAGACATGGGCTGCTTCTGATATGTTGCTCTCTGGCACAGATGTGGTGGCAGTTGGTGGCTTGGGCTGCATCTATGTAGAATGAATGCAGCTTGACTGTACTTTAGCTGCCATTACTCAATGCTATGAAATCCTGGGAGTTGCAGTCTTACAGGGTCTTTCAGCTTCTCTGCCAGAGTGCTGGTGCCTTACCAAACTACTGCTTTCAGGACTGCATAGCATTCAATCATAGCAGTTAAAGTGGGGTCAAACTGCATTAAATTGTCTGTGTAAGTATACTCTTTGATGACAGTGAGAAGGTGAATCTGTTGTGTGTTCCAGTCTGAACTTTAAAGGAGCGCTCCCATGAGCTGAACTTTCAAGTCTGAAATAAACCTAGAATGGATTCACTGTCCCACTGGCATGGAAGCACCAACCTCTACTGCACAGATGTCTTCAGCCAGAAGTAGGGTGGTTTTTAATGTTGTCTAGCCCATTATATACATTACTGATTCAGTGCCTGAATACTAAACACAAAATCAAAATGGCTTTACAAGTATTTGTGCATAATTTAGAAAGAGCCCTAGAGGAATGTTGTCCAAATGGAAAGAGTCCTCTAACCCAAGTTCCCATTGTATTGTATTTTTGCACATAATTGGTGTGGAAGAAAAGATGAAGCAAAAGGAGATGCATAAGGAGAAGAAAGAAGATAACAAAGGTCAAGGTTATAGCTATAGGAGGTGGAATGAGGGCATTGCCCCTTCCAAAGGAATTTTCCTTTAGCCCCCAAACATATAGCTTCGGTTGAATATTTATGTTGTTGTTCATTCGTTCAGTCGTCTCCTACTCTTCGTGACCTCATGGACCAGCCCACGCCAGAGCTCCCTGTCAGCCGTTACCACCCCCAGCTCCCTCAAGGTCAGTCCAGTCACTTCAAGGATGCCATCCATCCATCTTGCCCTTGGTCGGCCCCTCTTCCTTTTGCCTTCCACTTTCCCCAGCATAATTGTCTTCTCTAGGTTTTCTGTCTCCTCATGATGTGGCCAAAGTACTTCAACTTTGTCTCTAGTATCTTTCCCTCCAGTGAGCAGTCGGGCTTTATTTCCTGGAGGATGGATTGGTTGGATCTCGCGTTCCAAGGCACTCTCAGAACTTTCCTCCAACACCACAGTTCAAAAGCATCTATCTTCCTTCACTCAGCCTTCCCTATGGTCCAGCTCTCACATCTGTAGGTGACTATGGGGAATACCATTGCTTTAACTATGCGGATCTTTGTTGCCAGTGTGATGTCTCTACTCTTCACTATTTTATCGAGATTGGTCATTGCTCTCTCCCAAGAAGTAAGCGTCTCCTGATTTCCTGGCTGCAGTCTGCATCTGCAGTCATCTTTGCACCTAGAAATACAAAGTGTCACTGCCTCCACGTTTTCTCCCTCTATTTCAGTTGTCAATCATTCTTTGCCATAATCTTGGGTTTTTTTGATGTTTAGCTGCAACCCAGCTTTTGCGCTTTCTTCTTTCACCTTGATTTGAAGGCTCCTCAGCTCCTCCTCGCTTTCGGCCATCAGAGTGGTGTCATCTGCATATCTGAGGTTGTTAATGTTTCTTCCAGCAATTTTCACCCCAGCTTTGCATTCATCAAGCCCCGCACCTCGCATGATGTGTTCTGCATACAAGTTAAAAAGGTTGGGTGAGAGTATGCAGCCTTGCCGTACGCCTTTCCCAATCTTGAACCAGTCTGTTGTTCCGTGGTCAGTTCTGACTGTTGCTACTTGGTCCTTGTACAGATTCCTCAGGAGAGAGACAAGGTGGCTTGGGATGCCCATCCCACTAAGAACTTGCCACAATTTATTATGATCCACACAGTCAAAGGCTTTAGAATAGTCACCAAATGAGCATTTATAAATACAGTTTAAACATCCAAAGAAAAAGGACAGGCAAAGTGACCAAGGAATGAGATCACAGCAAATAGAAGAGTTGTAGGTGTGAGTGATTTTCAGTGTCTCGCTCTCCGTGATGCTAGAAATATGGAGACTGAGGATGCAATGCTCATTTGGTGGCAACATCTTCACTTTGCCCTCCCTCTGTATCTTCATCTCTGATACAGGCTAGAAGATAATTAAACTGGGCAGTAATCAGGAGGGAGGACCAGAAGACGAGGGGAGGAAAGGGGGCTTTCACAGAAGTGCACAAGAGGGAATTGCTGCAGCTGCTGTTCAGCATGCATGGGATGATCATGGTGCAAGTGAGAAGGAAAGAAAATGTGTGTAGACAGAATGAGAAAGGAGCATCAGAAGATCCCTGGAGCATGAGGGCTATAAGAACAGATTGCACCCCATAAATTCCTTACATTGGGGAGGCTAACAACTACAGTCCCTCTTTCCTGCTTTCTTTCCACCTCAGGAAGGACTACAGATGGTCTGCTATTTTTTTTCATTCAGGTTTTCATATCATGAAGAAAATATGGAGTCGTAAAAAAGAGCAAGAGGATTAAATTGCAAGTTTGGCAGAAGGTGTGAAAAATTGGTTAGGGCAAAGAGCAGGGTGGTGGAGTTGAGTGGGATGAGGTGGAGGGACTTGGCATTTTGGGAAGTCAGGAGAACCTTGATAGGAAGAGAGGCTGATATGGGGCAACTGCCTTTAGAAATAAGAAAGTTCTTCTGCATGTTTGACCGCCACAGTGCACACAATGCTGGCTACTTCTACAGACCAAACATACTGCAGAACTATAGCAGTTTGACACCACTTTAACAGATATAGATCAATTCAATAGAAACCTGGAATCTGTACTTTATTACAACCCCAAAGCACTCTGACAGAAAATGACAAATATCTCACAAAAGTTACAAATCCAGGAATTCCATAGCATTGAGTCATGGTACTTAACGCAATTTCAAGCTGCTATAATTCTGTACTGTGGATGGGATTAATGATTGACAAAAGGATACGTGGGTAAGGAAGGTAGATCAGCACTCAGAAGACTTCCTGTTTCCTATTTTTTGGAACACATCTCCACAGCATCTGCCCAATGAATTGTGAGAGTGGTAGTCCCCAGGAGAAAATTTCCCAAGCTTTGCATAGAAGCATTTTAAGTCCGCTAGTTCATTGTAAGTTGCTCCTTTGGAAAGCATCAGTCAATCCCCCTTGAGGGGAGAAGGGTGGGATAGAAATATACGAAATAAATAATAAATAAATACAAGAGTAGAGGGCCCGACTTCTCCTTTTTCTACAGATGGAGCCCAGCCCACAGCTACTTCTTGAACTGCTGGGCTGCCCTCTGCTGGGAGCTTCCCTCAGTCCCCACCCATTCTTGTCTTGCCTTTTGAGCAAAGAACAGTTAAGGGTGTGAGGTTGTTTTGTGTGTCAGGAGCGACTTGGTGTGAGAGAATTGGCCATCTGCAAGGAGGTTGCCCAGGGAATGCCCTGGATGTTTTACCATCCTGTGGGAGGCTTCTCTCATGTCCTCACATGGGAAGCTGGAGCTGACAAACAAGAGCTCACCCCGCTCCCAGATTCGAACTGCCCGATCTTTTGGTCAGCAGTCCTGCCGGCAGAAGGATTTAGTCCATTACACCACTGGGGGCAATGTATGTGAAGTGATGACTGAGATTCAGGGCACTCTGGAGGCTTTGTTGGGTCTAAAGAAGGTACAGGTAGGTTGGATCTCTGTCAGATTAGACAACTGCACTCCCTAGAAGCAGTTGTCCAGTCTGTCACAATCCATATTTGTTAGCAATGCAGAGGTCATATGTGACCCTCAAGTCATACAATTCTCACCCTTGAAATAGGTGTTGTTTTTTTACTTACTAATATCCCAGGCATACCCACATTGTCTTCAAAGTTTTCTTGGTATCTGTCTGATATTAACTCTCTCATTACTTAACTGCTGTATCTGCACGCATACTTGCTTGTGACATAGCTTCCCTTGAAATCAATGGGACTCATATTGAGTCTAATCCAAGTACAAACAAATGTGGAGGGAGCCCAGGTTGTTCAAGAGACCATTGCAGTCTCCAAGTTTCTAGCACTTTGAAGGGACCCAAAAGTAATTGCTGGCTGGATCTGCCAACAGTTAAGAATACCGAATTCTATTGATTTTAGTGGGAGACCGAACTTCCTGTTATTGGTTGCACTACAGGGCTTGTCACATTTATCCACAAGTCAGGATGAAGTTCTTATATACATCTCTTTCACAGGAAGCATTGAATTAAGTGTGATTTAAAAAAGCCTGGCTTTTGTAGGATCAGATGAAAAGGATTTCAAAAGGGATCTCCATAGTTAAAACATATAGGATCCTTCCCTCTACAGGTCATTATGCAGTGGTTCCCAACCTTTGGGCCTCCAGGTGTTTTGGACTTCAGTTCCCACAGTTCCTAATAGCAGGTATAATAATAATAATAATAATAATACTTTATTTTTACCCTGCCACCATCTCCCCCAAGGAGACTTGGGGCGGCTTACATGAAGCCAAGTCCAGCAATTACAACAATGCAAATATACAGCATAAAAATACAGCAATAACATATAATAAAAATAAAATAAATAAAACAATACAAAGTAAATACACAGTGCAATATAAAATCACAACAATTGAACACAGTGGGCAGGGCCAGTTGCAAATATTAAAAAGTTTAAAAAACTGGGTGAGATAAGCAATGCAGTGTATCTGGGAGGAGGATCAGATGGGACAAAACAATGGGGTTTAATTGCACTAGAGGGTAAAATAAAGTGCAAGTACAAGTGGTAAGCTGGCTGGGGTTTCTGGAAATTGAAGTCCAAAACACCTGGAGGTCCAAAGGTTGGGAACCACTGTATAGATGATGAGTTCAGAGCAGTCTTTGATTGTCTGTAGGTTTTGAAATCTTTAATCTCTGAAAGTGAGAGTGACTTGTCAAAAATGTTGGAGTAAATGCTTCATCACAGCCTATTGAATAATATTAGACACCTTGAATCAATCCCATAACCATGTACATAGCAAATACATTGGCAAAGGGTGAAACACCTGGAGGTCCAAAGGTTGGGAACCACTGTATAGATGATGAGTTCAGAGCAGTCTTTGATTGTCTGTAGGTTTTGAAATCTTTAATCTCTGAAAGTGAGAGTGACTTGTCAAAAATGTTGGAGTAAATGCTTCATCACAGCCTATTGAATAATATTAGATACCTTGAATCAATCCCATAACCATGTACATAGCAAATACATTGGCAAAGGGTGAAATACAAACACAGAAATACAAAAATGTCAGGGACACCCTTGGTGCAACTCATTTTTCTCTAGCCAAATTTTCCTGTTGGATGCACAGGGTTGAGGGTAATGGAAAACAGAATAGTTTATCTATTTATCTATCTCCAAATGGAGTGGGAGTGGGTGGGTGGGAAGATAGACTAGTGAAGTAATAATAGTTTCTGTTGCAGTAGTCAGTACCTGGTTTCCAGATTTGCAGACATAGGTCCTGTTTCTTCTGATGCTTCGCTTGAAAAACCCAGAGCACCCATCACAGGCGTAGACCCCATAGTGCTTGCCAGAGCTGCGATCACCACACACTTTACAGGGAATGTCCAAAATCCGGCCTGGAAGGAAGTAAGGAGAGATTGAGAGAGAATGAGAAAAGAAAGTTAGTAATCTGCTTCTATGAAGTGAATGTTATTATGGCTAGGCACATGAAGCTGACAGAAAACCAGAATGGGAAGCAGAGCACAGAAAATGTATTTATTATTTATTTACAGTATTTATATACCACCTTTCTCGCTCCTAGGGGGACTCAAAGCAGTTTGCACATAAATAATGGCAAAATTCAATGCTATACATTGGGCACCAATACGATGCCAATACAACCAATTGCAATAGTAGAACCACAATTAAACATAAATCATAATTAAAACAATACATCAACAAGCATTAAAACAACAACAACAACAATGTTACAGTAAGTCGTAGCAGGATCAAGTGTGTGTTAAAGAAAAACCTTATGATGCTAATTATTATGTGCAGCTGGTAATGTAGGCCAGCTAGCATGTTTGGGCCACACCTGGTGGGGTATAACTGTATGGACAGAGGGGAGGTGAGCTCCCCTCTGTCAGCTCCAGCTTCATATGCGAGGGCATGAGAGAAGCCTCCCACAGGATGGTAAAACATCCTGGAGTCCCCTGGGCAACCTTCATGCAGAAGGCCAATTCTCTCACACCAGAAGCACTGCAAGTGCCCTTGGTTCAATGGTTAAACCCTTGTGCGGGCAGGACTGCTGACCGAAAGGTCTGCAATTTGAATCTGGGAGCGGGGTGAGCTCCTGTCTGTCAGCCCCAGCTTCCCATGCAGGGACATGAGAGAAGCCTCTCACAGGATGGTAACACACCAGGGCGTCTCCTGGGCCACATCTGACCACGGCCAATACAGTTTGGAGAAGCAATACGCTACGCTGAGGAAGAGAAGCAATATTCTGTAATGCTGCTATGCTCTAACAGCAATGCTCTTTGTTATAGTGGAATAGCGATTTACTCAAGGTTTATGTTTTGCTCTCTCATTTGAATGAAGATAAAGAAGCCTAATTCTGTGTTACTTACAAATACTAAGTTTATTTGATTTTGTATGCAACACTGCAAGTTTATGCCTCTGCTGATAAGAGTAAAGTTTTTCTGTTGCTTTTTCTTTTTGCCTGTGTCTTTTGCATGGGACTTGACTAAAACATGCTCTGCACAACAGAAAAGTCAGGGGTATTTTTAAGACTTCTAAGGCTATTGGACTTGGAGTTGCAGCCCCAAAAGCAGGGGCCAGAATGGTATAGTGGTTTGAGCATTGGACTATAATTCTGGCCACGAGGGTTGAAATTCCCACTCAGCCACAGAAGCCCACAAGTTACTCCTTTGGCCTCAGACGAAGGCAAAGGGGAAACCCTCCTGAACAAATATTGCCAAGAACTACCTGAAGTCTCAGTATATAACTTTTCAGACCTTTATCTACATGGTGATCTCTAAAGTCACCTAGTGTGATTCCCTGCCAGGAGTCCTTCCATATTTCAAGAGGACCCAGCTCCTTTTGGGGACTACTTTCAGGGACTGCTAAGAGTGCCAAAACTGTAGCTGAAAGAATAGGTGGAAAGTTGCTGTAAGTAACTTGGGACTAGAAGTTTTTCCTACTTCTGATATTTTGAAATACTTAAATATGCATCATGATATATTTTGGAGATGGGACCAAAGCTTAAACATGAAATTCTTTTATGTCTCATATACACCTTGTACCAGGCATGGGCAAACTTGGGCCCTCCAGGTGTTTTGGGCTCCCACTTCCACAATTCCTAACAACCGGTAGGCTGTTAGGAATTGTGGGAGTTGAAGTCCAAAACATCTGGAGGGCCCAAGTTTGCCCATGCCTGCCTTATACACGTAGCTTGAAGATAGTACTATAAACAATATATTTAATAATCCTATGCATGAAAGATTGTATATATTGAGCCACCAGAAAGCAAAGTTGCCATTATTACAGCCATCCACATGGATAATTTTGGAGTACATTGAATTTGGGAATTCTAAATAATGGATAGTCAGCCTGTACTTCAGGTTGCTATCTGAAGCATCAGTGCAATCTGACAGGTCTATCTGGAAGTCACTGTTGGTCATCTGGCTGGAGTTGAATCCCAAGGAAGAGTGAGTAAGTGTGCAAAAGGAAGAGGGAGTTGCACCATTTAAGATAGAGGACTTCAGAATATTAAATCCATAGATTTAATGTACACATGACATTTATATCCTGGGTTTCCTTCTAGGAGTTTAAGAGATTGCATTAGGAACTGTGGTGGCGCAATGGGTTAGGGTTAGACCCTTGTGTCTGCTGAACTTTGGGGTGAGCACCCATCTGTCAGTTCCAGCTTTCAATGTGAGGACATGAGACAAGCCTCTCACAGGACGATCCTTGCAGAGGGCCAATTCTCTCACATCAGAAGCACTTCAAGTCGCTTCTGACACAAAAAAGGGATTGCACTGTATACAGTTTACCTTTCCTTCTCATTGTATTTAATGGGTTGGGGTTAGACCCTTGTGTCTGCTGAACTGCTGGGGTGAGCCCCCGTCTGTCAGCTCCAGCTTCCCATGCGAGGACATAAGAGAAGCCTCCCATGGGATGGTAAAACATCCTGGAGTCCCCTGGGAAACGTCCCTGCAGAAGGCCAATTCTCTCACACCAGAAGCACTGCAAGGAGTTTCTGACATACACACACAAAAATTGCATTGTATACAGTTTACCTTTCCTTCTCATTGTATTTAATGGGTTAGGGTTAGACTCTTGTGTATGCTGAACTACTGGAGTGAGCTCCCCTCTGTCAGCTCCAGCTTCACATGCGATGACATGAGAGAAGCCTCCCATAGGATGGTAAAACATCCTGGAGTCCCCTGGGCAACTTTCAAGGGTTAAACCCTTGTCCCGGCAGGACTGCTGACCGAAAGGTCTGCAATTTGAATCTGGGAGCTGGGTGAGGTCCCGCCTGTCAGCCCCAGCTTCCTATGCAGGGACATGAGAGAAGTCTCTCACAGGATGGTAACACACCAGGGTGTCTCCTGGGCCACGGCTGACCACGGCCAATTTTCCTCACACGAGAAGCGGCTTGCAGTTTCTCAAGTCGCTCCTAACACCTTTTCAGTCCATCAAACTGAGGGCCCTTCCACACAGCCCTATTAGCCAGAACTATGAAGGCAGAAAATCCCACAATATCTGCTTTGAACCTGGTTACCCGAGTCCACACTGACATGTATCCCAGTTCAAAGCAGAAAATGTAGAATTTTATTCAGCTGTGTGGAAGGGGCCTGGAATAGAATTAAACCTGGTCAATTGACTTTTTGGTGAGTTCAGGCATAGCTAACCCCATTGATTCAGTGGGTCTACTCTATGTAACACTACTTCTATTGCTACGCCGGATAATAAGGGTCCATTACGTTGGGGGGAGACATACTTTCATGGTCTACAACTCCTAGACCATGCAAAAAACTCCACACCAGGCAAAAATAGTTGTTTTTCCCCCCAACTGCTGACCAGTTTTGCCATTGAGTCAAGGGAGGCCACTGCCTCAAACAGCAAACCACAATAGTTAAGTTCTCACAAAAGGGCAACACCACTCCATCTGATCTAAGGGTGCACCCACTCTGTAGAATCAATGCTGTGGGATCCTGGGATTTGTAGTTTGGAGACTCTTTGGCGGAGAAGGCTAAAGCACTTATAAAAACTACCGCTGGCACGATTCCATAGTAGAGCCATGACAGTGAAGGTGGAGTCAAAGAGCATTAATTATATCTGTTTAATTTATATTATGTTTATTTAGTTTATCCTTGGTTAATTTCGGTTGTTTATAAATTGTATTGAGTTCATTTTGTCTCATGTTTCGTCTTGATTGTTGGGTTGCTGTGAGTTTTTCGGGATGTATGGCCATGTTCAAGATGATGCTGTCAAGGTGATGCATGCCATATGCCAGCAAATATGGAAAACACAAGAATGGCCATCAGACTGGAAAAAATCAACTTATATCCCTATACCAAAAAAGGGAAATGCGAAAGACTGCTCAAACTTCCGTACAGTGGCCCTTATTTCTCATGCCAGTAAGGTAATGCTCAAGATCCTGCAAGGAAGACTCCAGCAATACATGGAGCGAGAGTTGCCAGATGTTCAAGCTGGGTTTAGAAAAGGCAGAGGAACGAGAGACCAGATTGCCAATATCCGCTGGATAATGGAGAAAGGCAGGGAGTTTCAGAAAAACATCTACTTCTGCTTCATTGACTATTCTAAAGCCTTTGACTGTGTGGATCACAATAAATTGTGGCAAGTTCTTGGTGGGATGGGCATCCCAAGCCACCTTGTCTCTCTCCTGAGGAATCTTGTACAAGGACCAAGGAGCCACAGTCAGAACTGACCACGGAACAAGAGACGGGTTCCAGATTGGGAAAGGCGTACGGCAAGGCTGCATCCTCTCACCCAACCTTTTTAACTTGTATGCAGAACACATCATGCGATGTGCGGGGCTTGATGAATGCAAGGCTGGGGTGAAAATTGCTGGAAGAAACATTAACAACCTTAGATATGCAGATGACACCACTTTGATGGCCGAAAGCGAGGAGGAGCTGAGGAGCCTTCTAATCAAGGTGAAAGAAAAAAGTGCAAAAGCTGGGTTGCAGCTAAACGTCAAAAAAAACAAGATTATGGCAACAAGAATGATTGACAACTGGAAAATAGAGGGAGAAAATGTGGAGGCCGTGACAGACTTTGTATTTCTAGGTGCAAAGATTACTGCAGATGCAGACTGTGGCCAGGAAATCAGAAGACGCTTACTTCTTGGGAGGAAAGCAATGTCCAATCTCGATAAAATAGTAAAGAGTAGAGACATCAGACTGGCAACAAAGATCCGCCTAGTCAAAGCCATGGTATTCCCTGTAGTAACCTACGGATGTGAGAGCTGGACCTTAGGGAAGGCTGAGCGAAGGAAGATCGATGCTTTTGAGCTGTGGTGTTGGAGGAAAGTGCTGAGAGTGCCCTGGACTGCGAGAAGATCCAACCAGTCCATCCTCCAGGAAATAAAGCCCGACTGCTCACTGGAGGG